CGGATAGCGAATGGAGGCTACCTCGTGGAGTGGCAGCCAAAGCGGTCCTGAAGAGTCGATTGCCGTTGAGCTGCTCTGAGGAGTTTGCGTTGACACTTGACTTTCAATTGAGCAAAGTTCTGGGCCCAGCCCATTCGGGGACGTTCCTCACACACCGATGCCGTAACGTCTCTACTCATAAATATGAATTACGTGTACAAAAACATGAAAATTTGCGCAAAAGTTTAATGCAGTTCCTTTCTCATACTCTGTTCTCAGAAGGAAAACGAGTATATTGGCTTTGTGCACTGTAAGAACTCAGGCAAATTAAAAAAAATTCTATTTAATGCTTAAATGTCGGAAGTAATTGATCTACTGGCTCTACAGATAACAATGTAACTCGATAACTCACTACAGTCTAATATGCGAAATGGGGACACCTTGGCATAGCACCGCTACATTTTGTCAAGAACAGAGTATCACGCAGTCGATTGCACCTAACTGCAACGATCTTATTTGTTTTTTTTTTCTCTTGGCGCAAACAAAGCCAAGGATTTACTCAGGACGAAGTTTGCCAGCCGCTTAGTCTGCTCAAAAGGACTTGCCTTATCCCTAGCACATTCTTTTTTCGCTCATTGGCCAGGGCACGCCCAGGTGGGCACTTGCAAAATGCAGTTATGGGAGCTTATAAACCGGCGCTTTAGCATTGATGATGTTCTTCCCATTGCCACGGCATCCAATTGCCTCAGGATGCAGCTGAAGATGTTGATGAAGAAGGCTGAGTCTTAACTTGGGTCTTGGAATATTAATATTACCAATTAGATAAGTGTAGATGTAATGATTAATGATACTGTAACAACAATACGATATTTGAAAATACGATATTTTGAAAATATATATGAAAAAATTTGACTATTTATAGAGCTAGCAACATTTTCAATGGGCTCAGAGTATAAACACAAAGTGGGAACAAAGTATCATGCAGTCGGATTTTTCTTGTTTGTTTCCCTTTCTTTGGTATTGTTATTTTTGTTATTTTCTCTTCCTTTTTTGGTTTGTTTGGGCTGCCTTAACTGACTAATTTAGTGAACGGAGTTCAATGCATTTCATAAAATTCGACTAAACGCTCAAGGACAATGCGGCATATCGAATATACCATGTGTGTGTGTGCTTGAGTGTGTGGTGTGTTTGTTTGGGCAAGGGTATGCCTCATAAGTAGACATGTATTCAGACATGCACTGAGAGAAAAGTACGATACGAACAACATTAGTGCTCTATTCGTTAGCTGTTTCTAAACTAGTTCTCTTCTCTGTTGAATGTATGAATCGTTCAAAGCTCACTCATTATTCATATAGTTCATTCTTGAACTACTTCGTGAGCTTTAGATTTGACATTCTCATTTCTTCTACAACTCCAACCTGCTTTCGCTCAGTGACTGTGACTCAAGACTGTACTTGAGCACTGCCTCCAATTTGCGCCTGCAGATCGTTGACTTACTGAGGGGAAGCTGCGCGCCTCGCTGAGCTCATCTCGAGCGGAAGTCATAACGGTCAGTCAGATGCGCACAAGTGGGGATGCCATGAGAGAGCGAGAGGGGGAGGCCCCAGGGGCGGCGGAGGCAACACACTCAGATTTGTGTGCATTTGTGTGTTTGCAGTGGAGCTAACTGCTTGCGGTTTTCTGCTTCGCTTAGCGCCATCAAAGAGGCTCCCTCCATCTGCCCCTCTCCCTCTTGCTCACGCTCATTTTCGTGCCCCTCTTGATCGCGTCTGCAAATTTCATTGAGCGTCGAGAATATCGGCAATCAGTAATTAATGGCTTTGTCAGCCCAACAACATGTGTATACATACATACATACATATACATACATATATATGTATATATGTATATATGATTTTGATTCTTTGCATTTTCGTCTGCGATCCTCTCGAGGTGCTCGCGATCAAATGCTGGAATTTCGTTGATAGCGCCGCCAAACATCCTGTTGTTGTTGTTGCTATGTCTACATGTGTTGTTGTTGTAGTTGCTGTTGGTGTTTTGGGGATTGTGTCTTTGGTCTCTCCTCAGTTTGGCATTTCGCAAACGTCTGCACGTCTACATATCTCACTGGCTGGGGCACAGACTGCGACTGCGACGGCGATTGGGGCATGAAGCTAAAGCAGAGAAGGGGAGGGGGGAGGAGGAACCAACTCGAGCAGGCGGCCTTTCGACTGGCACTGGGCGCATTTGGTTGCTATTTTTAATGTTGACACGTTTGAAGATCATTGACTCGCCTTGCAGACGGTCAATGTCCATTTCTTGCCCAGACAGATCACTAAAAGATGCGCCAGAGGCGGATGGAGGCAGGGCGACATTAGGCAACGGGCATGCCAAATGAAAATGTGAATTATGCGCAAAATGTGGTTTCGGTCTGCTGCTGCTGCTGCCGCCGCTGCTGCTGCTGGTGATGACAGGACCAGCTCCAAGAAGGCGTTCGAGGCTATCGTGAGATCGTGTGCTAGCAGCAGCAGCAGCAGCAGCAGCAGCAGCCAGAACAATGCCTGCTCTTCGTATCAATTGATCACGATCGTTAGCCCAGATCAAACAGATAAATATATACCTTTATATAGGAGCTAAGACAATTAAGGGAATAGATCAGATACTTACCTAAACTATGTTGCAATGTGTGATCTGCTCGCTTAGCAAATGCATATATTCATATACCCTACATGTAGATCGCTCTATAAATGTATATTAAGATCATATGTTAGCTATGATCGATTAGCTGGCCCAAAGTCCGCCAAGTTATATACATATGTCAATGATCTTTCTTTAGCTGCGCGGTTTGAAATGTAACAGTAAATCCTTTATTAAGATCAATTCCCAACGCCTGGCGATCAGGGTACAATTAGCCGAGGCACTCTTTCTTCTCAGCTCGGCTTGAACTCTTCTTTATGCTCTGTAGCATTCCGAGATCTTGGACGCGCTCAAGTGCTCTCGTTGTTGCTGCTTACTGACATTGACACGATCCACAACGGCTGTCATAAATCTCACCTACCTTGGCTGGCACATGATGGGATTGTTCCCGGAATCGCTTGGTGGCTTAAGCTTGTCTTTAAGCTTCGCCGTTGTTGCTGGTGGTCAAAAGGAGCTCAAGCAAAGTCAGACGGAAGACAGAGAAAAAAGTGCAAATCACTTCATTAATGCATTGCATATGGGACGATCCCTGCAGCAGCCGCAACAGCGGCAGCCGCCGTGGCTGCGACTCGACGTCGCCGATTTGCAACTTTGTTGCGCAAAGCTTCATTCGGCCGGGAGGCTGCACATCATTTGGCTTAATGGATCCGCAGCAACAACAATGACAATGACAACAACAAAAACATACTTACTTGCTCTGAGCTGAACAAAAAGTTCGGCATTGCTGAATCGCGGCATCGTCAATCGGCGATTCTGCGCCGTTCGAACCCAAGCCACACAAGCAAACAAGAGAAAAAAGGGAGAGTGTCTGTCCAATGAGTGATACTGAGAGACTTCGAAATACCCTATAGGCTGTCGCTGAGAGCAAAATTTAAACGAACATTTTGGGGAAGTAACAGGCGAACAGAAATGAGAAGTAGGGAGGTCTAAATAGATCAAATTAAGTTTTAATGAACAGTGTATTGTAATGCACTGCTATTTAACAGTGTTTATTATGTTAAACAATAGTGAGCGGACAGTGTTAAAATAATACACTGTTAACTAACACTTCTCACCTTACTATTCATTTCTGTTCGCCTATTACTTCTAAAATTTACATAGATATTTTGGAGAAGTACCAGGCCCACAGAAATCAGAAGTAGGGTGCAAAATGTTCGTTAAAAGTACATTAACAGTGTACTGTTACCAGGCTGTTATTTAACAGAGTAATAAAAGTGCGCTAACAGTGTGCTGCTAATATACTGTTAGCGAACATTTTTCACCCTACAACTCATTCCTGTTGGGCTGGTACTTCCAGAGTTTCTATAGGTATTCTGGTGAAGTACCAGGCCCACAGAAAGCAGAAGTAGGGTGCCAAATGATTGTTAGCATTACCATTAACAGTGCTCTGTTACCAGGCTGTTATTTAACAGAGTAATAAACGTGCGCTAACAGTGTGCTGCTAATATACTGTTAGCGAACATTTTTCACCCTACAACTCATTCCTGTTAGCCTGGTACTTCCAGAGTTTCTATAGGTATTCTGGTGAAGTACCAGGCCCACAGAAAGCAGAAGTAGGGTGCCAAATGATTGTTAACATTACCATTAACAGTGCTCTGTTACCAGGCTGTTATTTAACAGAGTAATAAACGTGCGCTAACAGTGTGCTGCTAATATACTGTTAGCGAACATTTTTCACCCTACAACTCATTCCTGTTAGCCTGGTACTTCCAGAGTTTCTATAGGTATTCTGGTGAAGTACCAGGCCCACAGAAATCAGAAGTAGGGTGGGAAGTGTTCGTGAAAAGTACATTAACAGTGTACTGTTACCAGGCTGTTATTTAACAGAGTAATAAACGTGCGCTAACAGTGTGCTGCTAATATACTGTTAGCGAACATTTTTCACCCTACTACTCATTCCTGTTGGCCTATTACTTCCAGAGTTTCTATAGGTATTTTGGTGAAGTACCAGGCGCACAGAAAGCAGAAGTAGGGTGAAAAATGTTCGTTAACATTACCATTAACAGTGTACTGTTACCAGACTGTTATTTAACAGAATAATAACACTGTTCTGTTAAATAAAATTTTACTTTTTCATTGTGCTACTCATTTCTGTTCGCCTGTTACTTTTGAAAATAACCGTTCAAATTTTGGACCCAACGGCCGCAACAGCCTCCCTAAGTTATGCAACTATATTTCATGTGGATCAAATATTTAGCCGTTGATTTTTGAATGTTAATTCCCAGTAAAGGACCCTGTTTAATAAGAAAACCGTTTGTATATTTAATGATCAAAGTTTTTTATTGCTTTTCAAATTTTTACAGTTTTTGCTGACCTAAATCTACAGTTATTTATACACTTATACATATCGTTTAAGTTATTAACATGTTTATCATTTACATTTGTTTTACACATAAATACATATCTCTTAAATTATATGATGTTTATCATTTACATTCATTCACATATACATATCTTAGATTATATAATGCTTAACATTTTCATTTATTCTTACACATATTTATATAATTCTTAAGTTCGGGCAACTTAATACTATCCTTCGATATTTTTGCATTTATTGTGTATATCTCCTGCCATCGAGCATGATGCTGAAGAAGCGCTTTTGTCTGAAAATATAAGAGATATTTTAGAAAAAAATGAACAACAAGAGAGCAGAATAGACTGTTGTATGTTAATGTGTTACGACTTACCTCTGACGAATCAAGAAGAATACTGCAACTTGCATTTCCTTTGCTTTTTCGCTCAATGGAAAAGAATACTCTCCTGGAAAATACAAAAAGAAATATATATTGTTAATAATATAAATATATATTAATTTACTTAATGCTCTATTGCGGTCTCATTTTAATTCTATTTGTTCTGCCTTTGTCTCTCTCTCTCTCTCTCTATGTCTCTGTATCTATCTCTCTATCTATCCTTTTTCTCTCTATACCTCTATCTCTTTCTCTTCCCTCACTCTCTCCATTTCTATTTTTCTCTCTCTCTCGATGTCCGTCTGTCTGTCGTTTATAGAACCTATAATAATAGCTCTGCCCGAGTGCCGCTTGTCTTTTGAACCTTAGTTATTAAATTATATCTCGTACATATTTGCAAATTAAATTATTTAATTTTCATAATTTTGTTGTTGAATTTTAATTCAGTTTAGTAACACAATCGTTACAAGTCACTAAGTTCAATTTATTTTTAAAGTTTTTAATTCTTCAAAATTTCCAGTTCCAAATTTCACAAGCCAATGTTATGGTCATGTCTGTGGCTTTAATCACTCCTGTCTTCTTATTATGCCTCTTTACATTGGTGAAGATGGGTAAGTGATAGCGATGCGAATACCAATAGTATATGTGTCCAGACTGACTTACATATACATATATATATAAGAAAATGAAATCTTGTGTCATTAAACAGCCTTAGTTTATTCTTTAAAGACGACAATGATGCGGATTTTGGGCAAGGGTTCGATGTCAACATTCATGAAGTTCCTTACATAGGCACACTGAGGTATTACTCAAAGGAGATTGAGGAACTGGGCAGTGGCATGTTTTGCATGGCTATTCCTATTAAAAATCGTGTGCTTCTCTCAGCGGCTCATTGTGTATTTAAGTGAGTACAGCTTTTGACTTTTGGCTTTTGGCTAAGTGAAGCTGTTATCCCGATATTATTTGTTGCAGTAAAAATCACAACGATGTTGTGGTTATTTTGGGAAGCTCCAGCCTTAGGATCCGAAGTCCAACAACGAGGATGCTGAGTGTCTCATATTGGAGTTGGCATCCACTGTATAAAATGCTGCAGCCGCCATACGATATTGCAGTGGTCTTCACATACGACGATATAGAACCCATTGCAGGCGCTATTCAATATGCACCCCTCAACTTGCAGGAGGTGCCCAAGGGCACCAAATGTCTAATATCCAGCTGGACTCGACTTGCTGACGTAAGCAAATTAATAATTTGATCTACTATGCCAAAACTAGGCATCGATAACAAGACTAATCGATTGTCTTCTTCCCTTAGGGTGTGCAAAAACGTTCAGACACTATGCAAGCGATATGGGTATCGACCCTGGACAGAAAATTCTGTTTTCTGACAATTGACGCACCCGGCTATATGTGCAGCAAATCGGAGGTCTCCAATGTTGGAGTCAACACGGGTGACCTAGGTGCACCCGTGGTGTGCAACGATAAACTGTCGGGAATCACCTGCTTCATAATACCCACGCGCGGCATAGCCTTTAACACAGCTATAAATGTGTATGCCAAGTGGATAAGAGCAAGCGTGTACCTCTACTTCAAAGGATCTCCACCAACAGTAATACCAACAGCATCGACAACAGCCACACGAAGATTGGTACCTGCTACGCCAAATTCAGTGCCACTTCGGTCCATCTGTAGCCAGTGGAAAGTTCTTTCGGTCATCAGCATTCATGTGATATTTATGATTCCTACTTTTGATTTCGATTTTAACTTGTAGTTTTACATAAAAATGTTTTTACTATATTACGAAGCTCATGCTTAAGATGTAAGTCTCAGGGTATTGGCTAGTCGAGCAGTCCAGGCTGTAACAAAAAAGCTTTTAAGTGAAAATGATCGATGCGATCTTCATCTGCATCTTCAATCTGAGATCTGAATCCACTAATCGAGTGGCCCCCACGACCGATCATTGGCTCATATTTTGTGGCATTGCTGTAATTTTAATTGCTCGCATAATTTCGACAGTTAAGGCGATTACGGAGCATTGTCATAGAAAGCCAAACGAAAGCCAGCAACAAAACAGAGATACCAAAATTCCCCACAAAAATAGAGGGGAAACACGACAAACGAAAAGCAACGGCAACTGAAAAATGGTGTTAAGTATTTACACGTGCGTTGGCCATAAACCGACAGCCGAGTGCTTTAGAGGCAACCGCGTTTTGCCCTACTATCAATCCGTAACGTGTATAGACGATCCATCAGCTGAACCATTGAAGAAGCCACCAATAAAGTGAGCTAAGACTCTGTGGGAAAAAGATTAGCTGATGATCACAGATGATCAGATCCACTAACATATCATTTTAGAGACGATCAGAGATGAAACCTAATGACAACGGATCGGTGATCATTACAATTTGTCAAAAATCTTTCGTAGATAATTTAGTATGTGTGAAGTACGATATAAACGTGTGTAAGAGTAGGCATTAGTATAAAGACTAATGTAATGCCTAGCAATTTAAGACATCATTGATCACTCATGCTCGGGGGTAGACGTAGAGCTTATTTAAATGACATTTGATAGATGATCAGATATGAAACTCGATGATGGGGTCATCATGATCAAACGGTAACTTCTGACTCTATGAATAACAGATGAAATGAGATCTACTGATAGATATAAACGAGGAATAGTTGGAGTAGAATACGATATTATCCTACTTAGCTTCTCGGCTCTGAGTAGCTCCACTTAGACGGCAATTCCACTTCTACTTAACTCCAACCAACTCCAATCTGTCACATCTCATTCGTAAATCTTGCCACAGTTAGAGCATCTCTTCGACGACAATCGTAGGAGCCGAATGTGGAGTAAAAAACGCAACTGGCGCGACAGCTAGAGATGACGCCTTGTCCGTGTAGCGCGTATTGAGCAAACGCAACATTTAGCCAAGGCACGAAACAAATCTCAAGAGTCAAAGCACACAAACAAACAACAACCGAAACAAACCTCTTGAAATATGTTTTATAAAAGAAATTGTGAGCAAAGAAAACCAAAGTCATATATAATTTTCATGATTATTGCTGTAAGGTGTCATTGAAGGTGAGAAATGGGAGCACACGCGTGTGCCCCAAAGCGTAAGCCCCAAAACATGAAGACAAAAAAAAAAAAAAAAAGTAAAATAAAACGAAAAACCCGAACAAACCGAAGTCAAAGCCGAAAGCCATTGAAGAAGACAAGTGTAAAAGTGAAAAGTCTTTGAATACCCTATAAATCTGGGATCTCATATGGGGTATAGTGCTCTGGACTTCTGTTAAGACGGATTTGAAACGGAAATGAAAATGAAAATATGAATACTTCTCTCTCTCTCTCTCTCTCTCTCACAAGCACTGCACTCAGACTTTATCTATTTTATTAAATTCAAATTAGACAGCACAGCAATACAGGGTAACTCTACGTTGAGCTAGTCGTTAAAGTGTTTTTGGAGTAGAAGTCATACAAACTGATCGTGCAGCTATTATCGCTTTTTGTTTTTAGTAAACATTTAAAAGAAGAAGCAGAAGAAGAAACGTTACAAGTTCGTTTTCATGAATGAATTTATGATTGCCTCAGTAGCTTGCCCCCCGCCCTTGGGGGCTAACCACTTGGCACTCCACAGAGGCCCCCATGGTTTTGTTGTTATTTGACTTATTATCAAACACACACACACACATACTCACACCCACACACACACAGACTGGTACCTTAACATATTTGTTGTTTAATTTCGCTTTGAGTCCACGTCTCATGTCCCACGTTTTACGTTTCACGTTCCACGTCCCGAGTCTCCTACACCCCACTTCCCATTCCTCTGGTTGTTTCTGTCTCAATTCATAGATTATTAAAGCGCTCTCTGTTTCTGTTTTAGCTATATAGAATTCCAGTCAATTGCTCGCTGAACATTCGGGCAACATAAATTATTCGAGTTGTAAATTTTTCGAAATGTTTAATTATAAGTTATTTATGGCATTTGATTTGACCTGCGTGCGTAGCATTTCAATCAGCCAACTAAAAACTTTGCCCGCCTCGCCGGTGCTAAACAAGTCATTAGCCATAGATGTGACCGGAAATGGGGACAATTGACAATGGACAGCCGAGAGCGGAGAGCGGAGAACTGAACTGAGCACAGAACTGAGAACTGAGAATCGACTTGGTTTACCAAACGGATTGATGGACTGATTGCTGCTTCCCACGATGTTAAATCGAGCGGAACTACGACTATGACTACATTATCAGCTATTTGTATTTTTTTAATCGCTCCCCTTTCCCAAACCTAGGTTACATACATAGGTCGACAGGAAGACAGCTCTTCAATAGAAAATCCGATTCATGTAGAGATACGGGAATATTGAGAGTAAACAAGTAAAGCTGAGAGCTCCATTCGAGCCAACATCATTCGCGTTAGATATCTTAGGCTATTTACAGATGCTCAGAGCTTAGTCATAGCTTAATCACAAGTACTTGCAGTCTGAACTAAAAGCCAATGCTAATGCAGCGCCGTTAAACTAACTGTAATTGAACGCCACTTTAATTGTTAGCTCTTTCTCTCTATCTCTTTCCCTCGGGAATTTATGCAATTCAATGCCATTTCAATTCTCAGTTGACAAACCGACAGCAGAAAGCAGAAACCCGATGGGGAAAAAATAGAATTAAAAATTTCCAATCAAACCAAGCTGCAAGCTCCAATCGAGGCGAAATGTGGGCGTGGCAGCGGAGGCTAGAGCGAGGCAAGCGAGTTAGCCAGCCCATCTTAATGGCTTGTCTAATATCCTTTAACTGCGAGCCAAGCCATTAAAAAGCATAAAGTCATTTAGTAATTAATTTTCATGTCCTGCTCTAGCGAGACCTAGATAGAGAGAGAGAGAGAGGGGATGGAGAGGGTGTGAGGATAGGAGGTGGGAACTGCTAGTGCAGGTGCTCCTACTAAACGGGGCGCGGTCTTAACACTGCGGCCAGCAATGCCAATATTAAAGCACACACACACACGCACACATGCGCACACACATACACACACAGGCATGTGCAGTGTCTATGAGTCGCTGCTGCTGCTGCTGCTGCTGCTCCTGTGACTGCTTTCAAACTGTAAAACAGCATAAACACACACACACACACACTTATACATATATAGAGAGATGTGTGTGTGTGTGTGCTCTTTGAAAAACGCGCCAAACATGTCCTACCTCTCACGAATTTCCAGTGCGCACGTCAGTAAACGCAAAATGCCGCTACCATTTGCTTGGATGCAGCGCCGCCTTTTCCAGCTTCCAATACTACGAATTTTTACTACGTTTTATCGATCCAAGCGTGTGCAACTCGTCTGTGAGTGTATGTGTGTGTGTGTATGCGTGTGTGTGTATACAGCGCAGCTGGCACAAGCACGAGCGCCGCTGCTGCTGTATGCCCAGCCGAAAAGCGCAGGAGCCGAAGCTCTCCGAGATGACATGCGAAATGGGTAGCGGTTAACGGTTAGCGGGTAGCGGGTAGCAGGTAGCGGGTCTGTTGGTTAGATGGCGCGGCCGAGGGCGAGGCCACATCAAAAGAGCACCAAAGCGAGCAAACGTGAGTGAGTGAGTGAAAGGGAGCGAGTGATTGCGGAGGGGGCGCAGCGCAGGGCTGGGGAGAGGCAGCTTGTGCTGCGAAGCTGAGTTCTGTTGCGCTCTCGTTTCACTTTCCACTTGATTCCTTGCGCTTGACAGCCAAACGGAGCGGCAGTGGGCGGCTGATTGGATGCTGCTGCTGCTGGTGCCTCTGCCTCTGTCTCTGCCGCTGGCGCTGCTACTGCTGTTACTGCTGCTGCAGCTCAATGCAGGCTGCATGTGGCAACAGACAGGGCTGTGCGTGGCATTCCCTTGCGGTGTTCGCGCTCTCTCTCTATCTCTCCCGCTCTCTGTCTCTATCTATCCATCCCTATCCTGCTCTCACGCGCGGCCATTGACCTCTGATGTCAAACAAAATCGGCGTGCACTTATTATATGCCAGTCCAAAGGGAGCAAGAGAGAGAGGTAGAGAGGCAGGGGAAGCTCGGCCATGGTCCACGAGCCAGCAACAACAGCAATGCCTGCAACTCGCTTTAAAGTGGATGTGCAGAAGGGGGGGCAGCAGCCCGAGCTAGTTGCTCTGCCCACGGGCAGTTTGCTTTTGTTGTGTAAATTACGTTATGTATTGTTGTATACTTTTTGGGGTTTGCTCGGGATGCTAAACTCCGAGTTGAGTTGCGAATGAGCCTGGCTACAAATTTTGTATTTGTGTTTGTGTTTGCCAAGTGGGAGCTCTGGCCTGTGGGCTGGGGCTGGGGCTGGGACTGAGGACTGTTTGGGGGCCGTTCAAACACTTTAAGCTCGGTTAATTCAAATGCACTGATTCTGATATCCTGTTGAAATCTGTTGAATGTTTAGCTATATAAATCACGCAATGCCATGAATTAGTCTCCAAATTATTTGTCTATGCAATTAATAAAATGTTGTGTATAAACAAATGTAGCTGATTAGTTGATGGATTACTTACATGCGTATACTTAATCTTCAATGGATTAGAATATCCCTCTCTCTCTCTCTCTATCTTAAGGATAAGCTGAAATAATGATGCAGAAATTTCTGTATTATTTAACATTATTTTAGGTTTCGCATTATAAACAGCTCTAAATATATATATATTATTCTTTTCCTTGTTTTTTTTTTCTCAAAATTTAAATTATTTTAAATAAAATGGGTCTGTTTGTTCCTACATTATTATTAAAAATGAATCTTTTTTTTTTGTGACACAAAATAAAAAAAAACATGATCAAAAATTAATTAAATAAAATACAAGTAGAGTAAAATGGAACAACTATTTTCCGTTATTTAATTCAAAGACTTGTCAACAAAAATGAAAGATGAAATAAAAGCTTCGTAGGGTGGGTGTCATAGCTAAGCACTGCAAGCAAAACGGTTCATGTCACGACTAGCCGCGCACAATGCTTGCACAACTGTGCCATAGACATAGCCAAGCTGGGAAGACATTGCTCCATTCAATATATGCTCATGGGCACAGAGTTCTCACAGGTGTCCTCGTCGCTGGAACAGATTAGGATAAACAAATTATAGACAACTATATACCTCTATCTCACTCACTTATTCTCCTCGATGCGCCGCAGGAAGTTCTGTATTTGCTGATTCTTGCCAATCAGCGCGTAGAGCGCCGCGAAGCCGTGGAGAGCTGTGCAGAGGCAAACGGCGTAGTTCAGATGCGAACGCTCCTCGCGGTAGTGGTTGAAAGCAAAGGAGCAGACGCAGACGAACCAAGTGAGCGCCGTGTAGGTGAAGAACTTCCAGAACGACTTCAGCCGATTCTTCTCCAGGGACTCAAAGCTCTTCTCCGCATCAATGTCCGGATCGTCGCTGATGCGTATCAGTGTGAGCACGTAGAAGAAGCAGCTGATGGCGCAGGCAACGAAGACCGGCGCAAAGAAGTAAATCATAATGCTCCAGTTGCGCGCTAGAAAGAGACAGCAATATAGTGTAGACATGAACCAGAGCTGTGCGCTTGCGTAGCAACTCACGATCGAACCAACAGGTGTCGCCACCAAAGACCAGCCTCGAGCCGTGATAGCTGAAGCCCACGTAAACCGACCAGGCCACGGCTATAAGCACGATCGGCCCAAAGATCAGCCAGAACATGGGCTTCGTGAAGACAACTCCATTGAAGCTGACATAGAGCTTGAAGGCTATAAAGCTCAGTATGTAGAAGGACAGCACGAGGAAGAGCAGCGCGAAGCTGGCTAGAGATCGATCAATCAATCAGTCAGTCTGTCAATCAATTTATATTTGCATTCGCCACACTCACGTATGATGCGACAGGCGGCCGTTGACAGATTTGCGGGATCGTGGAGTGTCAGGTGAGCCAGCAGCGCATAGCCAAAGATAACACACGTCGTATACGATTTGATCGCCACGCCGTAGAAGCTGTTGCGCATATCCGAGCAGAGCAGGTGAACGATCAGCACTATGAACATCGATATAATGCAGATCAGCAGGCCTGCAGATGAGAAGAGATGAGGAGGACGATGAGGATATACAAATAAGATATTATTGATATATAAGAACTGGCTTGGTATACTCAGAGAACAGAGGACAATATACATAAGTTAGAAGAGAGATCAAGAGAGCAGCAATATGAAGCAGAATCAGCTTATCAAGATGTTAAATGTGCTATTGTGGCAAGGATTGATCTCTGTAGACCATATGCTTGCTCCTCTCTCTCTCTCTCCCTCTCTCTCTTTCTATTGCAATGATATGATTATGCTAAAGAATAAATCTTGAATCATCAAGACTTCAATTCAATTGTTATCACTGATTCATTGCTTTCAGCTCTTAATGGCCAAAATAAATTCACTACTTAATGATCTCTACTAATGGAACTGATCCATGAAAATCGAGCATTGATCGTTTTAATAAGCAAACTGTGTTTATTCTCGAGGCACATGCTGCTTGGCAGCGACTCGCACAAACATTTTCCATAATGCGCGCGAGGCGAGCCCATTAACAATTAGACATATCGAAACTATAATATAGTAGATATATGGGAGATTAGTTCGAAAGCAAGATGAAAGCAACTGAAATCTATTGATTAGTGTTTTGATCGAACTTACATACAGCATAGGTCCACTCCCTGACGCCCAGCACAAAGCGAAGCTTCTCTGGGGCACAGGCCAAGGGCTGCCAGCTCCAGCTGCTGTTGCCTATGAGCAGGGGGCTGAAGCAGTAATGCTTGCTAAACAGATAGTCCCGATGGATGATCGAACCGTTCTGTGTAGGGCAGAGTACGTAGATTAGAATTGAAGACCTTTAGCTAGGAATATATCTTAGCTCTTGCTTAAATGTCAAGATCCCTCATTTATCCTCATTTACATCAACATCGGTGTTACGAGCTCACCTCGTGCAGTGTCCAGTTGAGGTATGTGTTATCCTTGGTGTAGGCCTTCATATGATCGCAGGGGGTCTCCTCATACACGCTGAACAGGGAGCGCAGCTCAATATCCAACTGCGTGCCATTGTGCAGCTGGACAGCCATGTGGCTCTGGCCTGGCGGCGGAGGCAGCTGCTCCTGCGCCGCCAAGCAGCTGCGTTCCTCCAGGTCGTAGAACTGCCCGGCCGGACAGCAGAAGCGCACGCACGGCCGTAGCTTGCAGATGCAGGCGCGCAAATGGCGCTTGGCAGGCACGCGGATTCCGTTCTCAATGATGAAGTCGTAGGCCGTGACCAGCTCGCGTGGTATCACGGTCCAGTTGTGGACGTAGGAGTTGTTCAGGGAGCTGCCCATGTTGTAGCTGCCTGTGATGTTGACCGTGTCGATGAAGGCGCACGGGTGGCGCGCCTCCTCGTGGATGCCCTGAGTCATGGCCAAGAGGCAGCCAATCGTCACGAACTGCGCCGTGGCCAAAGAAATTCTCATCGCGGCGTCAAATCGAATCCATTCGCTGTTTACCTTAATGTCCAATTGCAGTTTACCAAATAATCAAAAGCGTTTCCAAAATAGAAATCCAAACACAGGCCGCAATCGTTCTCCACTGACGTCTCGCTACGGCTCTCTACTCTGGCAACTCTCCGGCGGAAACGGTTCATCCACACCTGGCACTGGCTCAACACGAACTGCGCTCGCTGCGCCCCCAACAGCTGAATCGAATCGAAATCAAAAATGGAATCGAAACATTTTCATTCGCATATATCCACAAACATGTGGCGGCTCTTGCTGTTGTTGTTGCTTTTGTCTTTGACGACTGCGATTTGTTTACAACAACCAAAAAGCACACTGAAACTGAGAAACACACGAGAAGCGCAGTGCATGGAACTGAAACTACTCTATAACAGGTGGAGCATATCTATAGACTTCTTAATTATCTCTTGAGTACCTAACTGAAATCCATTCTTCAGCCTCTCCACGGGCCCATTCTTCAGGCTATACATAAATCCATCCCTTAATGAATTATCTTTGGGGTCATGGTCGAACCAATTCCTGACTTTATCCTTAGTCTTATTGGAATCCATGTTTTATCCCATTCCTGAATCTATCCCTGAACTAGTACCTATATTCAAATGAACCACATCATTTCCCCATTTAGTAGAGTATTTGCAATTCAGTAAGAGGCCTCTTTAGCCACTGTATAAACATGCTAGCGAGGCATTCTAAGATATAGACCGCGTCGTTGTGAGGTCGTCAATTGGACAGAGACCGAGACGGACAGCACTTAATGGCGTCATAAAGAGGGCATTTGTTGCGTGCAACTCGACTAGCGAACTCGAACACGAGCACGAACCCGAACACCAACCCGATCCATTTGGCTACGAGTTGCCATTATAATTGTTTTTGCTCGCTTTATACGTGGCCCTACGAATAGTTTTAGGGGGCTGGTCACCTGTTTGCCATGGGAAAAGTGTGCAAACAAATAATTCATGGGTTAGCGAATCCTTTATGCGGATACGTTTCATTACTGCTCCATAAATGTTTAGTATACTAAACGTTCCAAGGTGGAACAATAGGATGTGGGTCTGAGTTTGGGTAAATGCCAAACGAAGTTAATTACAGAGAAATCCATCGAAAGCGAAGAGCTTGACGTAGTAATATCTGCAAATGTTTAATATGTGCTTACCTTGATGGATGGCTGACTGACTGGAACTGTCTATAAGCATTGATTTATCATTTGCGTTTTGACATTAATGGGAATAAATTGTGCGGTACTCGGAGTAGTTCAGGCTGAGGAATGGGCTAAAGTATAAAAATTGTAATAATAATAATGATAATGATAATGATAATGCAACTCAAATGATAACAATACGAATGATGCTTATAGGAGGGATATTGTTTAAGGCAATGCGACGACATAAAAATGATAGGCAGTAATAATAATAATATAAACAATAAATAACGATAAGTTATGTGTAATATAATAATAATCATAAGGGAAACGACAGTGTTATTAATAATACAAGTGATAATAACTTACTGCTGGGGCTAGTCCTATGTAAAATACAATAAATTCCAGAACATAAACTTTTCTTTAATCATTAACTGTAACTGTGTTGCCCAGATGCGTATTGGAGGCATGTGTATATACATATAAAAATATATATCGTAGTATAACAAGTCTTAATAGTGCTTAATGCGAATATTATTTGCTATCATTCAGAACGATTCATAAGTAAACTGAGCAACGGCCCGGATGAATCACGAGTTGAGCTAAGCTGTGGCAGTTAGAGTGATGTCACCGTCGGTCTATAAGGTGAGTCTGTGGATAGAGAGAGAGAGAGAGAGAGAGAGATAGAGATAGAGATAGATCAATCAAAGTGCCCATAGAGAGGGATAGATGTTTGCTACTCACCCGGAGACTTGAGATCGCCCTTCTCATCGAATTTGTAAACTCGCGCGTTTATTATGCTCAGATCCGTTTGACTCGATTCGCTGCGTGGAATAGAACCTATTAATAGGGCTGACAGTGTGGGGTTACCTCAGGTCTTACACATTGATGGACCACCAGGTCTTTACGTGCATATTCTTGCCCAGCAGCAGAATAAATCCCGCTATGGCCAGTACCAAGATGCAGATGCCGCTCCAGAAGTCGATGATGAAGAAGTGCTCCCTCATTCGCGCCAAGATATAGACAATCATCTCGCGCACCCACACCGACGACACGCCCACCAGGTATGCAGAGAAGGCGTAGAAACTAAGGTGGGGGCGAAGAGTAAGGAACGTTCACCAGGTATATCAATAGATTCTTAGTTACGGATTACTTACTGAGTCTTCATGATGCGCAGCTGGGTGCCCAAGATGTATTGCGTGTCTGCAGGCAGGTCGAATATCGAAAAGTATGCCTTGACACAGCAGCCGAGGCTGAAGATCAGCAGCAGCACAATGGGCACGTAGTAGTAGATCAGAATGCCCCAGAGGCGAACTGAAAAGGGAGATGCATATAGATTAGACATTAGATTAGAATTCAAAGATGGATGTATGGAAAATCAGGTGAAATTAAAGGAAATCATTTAATGATATTAGATTAGAACTACTGAACCTGATATATGATATATGCTCTAACGATCTTCGTTTATGTCTTAACTCCCACTCACCATCGAACCAGCAGTAGTCCTCGCCAATGCCTGGCTTAAAGTGCTTGGGCATATCGGAGTCCTGCGCAAAGGAGACCAGAAAGCGCAGAGCTGCCACGCAGCCAATGGCTACAAAATAGCACAAGGTGCGCACCCAGCTCTTGATAGCCTTCAGGCGGAACTTTAGCAGAAAGTCGAGACTGCAGAGGGCCAAGTAGACAAAGGACAACATGATGCAGAAGTAGGCCAAGAAACCTGTGCAGGAGCGAAGCGATAGAAGCTCGATCTATATAAAGGAAGAGGCTCTGGTATATCGAACCTATATTGCGGCACGCCTCATGGGACAGGTTCATTGGATTCTTGAGCGTCAGATAGACGAGCAGGCAGTAGCCTCCAATGGCCGACAGCAGATAGTAGATGATCAGCTGGCCGTAGTGCGAGCGACGCGCCTCGTTGATGGAGCTGAGCAGGGAGAGTACGAAGATGTTGATGAGTATTGCAATGATGCTGCCTGCGGAGAGAGTAAGAGGAGGCATTAACGTACATGGAAGGCTTAGGGTAGCTGGACCTGACTTACAGATGGCATAGATCCAGACTCTGTAGCCCCGCTGGAAGCGCTCGCAGTTGAGTGGCGTTAGCTGCCAGGCGTCTTTGTGCTCCAGCGGCGTAAAGCAGTACTCGTCCGTGCTCCAGAGGCGTCCGTCCCGCAGGAGCGAGCCGTTCTCATGCAGATCCCACTGCCAGAAGGTGTCGTGCTTCTTGTCCACAAACTTGTTGCGGCAGCCCAGCTCGGTGCGCACCACAAAGTGCTCGCTGATCTTCACCTGCGCCACGCTGAGATTGGCGTAGGTCAGTTCGACGTGGCTGATCAGACGCTCCTGCTTGGGCTTTGTGCAGTTCCAGCTCTCGGCATTGAAGACCAAGTCCGGCGGACAGCAGAACGTGATGCAGGGCTTCAGCTGGCAGACGCAGCCGCGCAAATGCTTCTCCGCGCGGTACTCCACGCCGTCGATCACCTTGAAGCTGTACTCGGCCATCAGCTCAGGTGGTATCAGGACACCTGCGTACGAGTAGGAGCCATCCTTGAGCCGCAGTCCGTCCGTGATGTTAACGGTGTCTGCGTAGGCGCAGGGGAATTCGCCGTGAGGGGAGGCAGAGGCAGCTGCTGGTGCTGTTGATCTTGTGCTAATGAGGATGAACCACACGAGCACCACCCACATTTTTCTTGATCTAGCGTTAATTCGGCAGTTAAACACGCTGCGGTCATAAAGCTCAGTTGTTACAGTAGGCGCTCGCTAAGACGAACACTTCTATAGCTGCCAAGACGCAAATAGAAAATGTTTTATATTTATATAAATAAACATCCATATACATATACAGTTTTTTTTTTTTCTTAAATATACATATTTTTCAAATATAAAAATTTGCTTCGAAATTCCCGCTCTATGATTATTATTTTATATTAGGTAATCTCTTGGAAATTAGAAAGAAGATGCTCGCGCAGACATCTGTTCGCTAACAGAGTGCTCACTGTATTTGCTTTTGGCTTTAGGTGTGGTATTTGTTTGTGGCTCAAAACTTTATGCTGCGCACGTGACGTCACAGCGTCAACAGCGTTGGCAGTGATAGCGACGTCAGCGTCGCCGTCGGCGTCGGTATCAGCGCAACGCAAGAATTAAATAAATAAATAAAGGCGATCGTATCCATACGATATATTTGTCTTGGGTTTTGGATTTTAAACGCACGCACGCACACATACACACAAACACACAACAAAGTACAACAATCAAAACTGACGGCGAGAACGCTGACACCGACGCTGACGCTGACGTTGACGACGACGCTGACAGCGACGTCTAAAAACGGCTATATGATTGCGACAACAACGACAATAATTATATGGCGCGCAAGCGAGAAAACGATGAGGATAGAGAACGAAAAGGGAGAGAGGGAGAAGGAAACGAACTTTGTGATGCGTTGTCGCTGCTCTTGTTGTTGTTGTTATTGTTGACTTTCTCAGTTAACGAAACCGGCAAACCGCGGCGCAGAGACGTCAACGCACCATGCCGGCCAAGAATAAAAAACAGACTAACTGATTAGCCAGTCAGTCAGCAAAGGCAGACCCCAGGCCACAGCCACAGCCGCAGCCACAGTCGCAGTCGCAATCGCAGCGCGCACCAAAATGAGGGCCGAGAGGAATTCGATTTCGTATGTGTCTACTTTGCGGAATCGGAATTGGAATTGGAATCTCAGTCGGACGCGAACCTCATTCAAAATTCATTTTGGATTCTTAACAACAACAAGAGCAACAGCAACAGCAGCTGGCTTCGGCTAAAGCTTAAGTTGTGTGCGCAGTGAAGAGAGCTTTTATGTTAAAGTTCAGCGCTTCTCACTCGTTGTCTATGTCTGGCATAACTTTACACTGGATACAGTTGTGATAATAAAAGAGTGGCCGTAGTCAACAGCGGGTGCTTGTCTTTGCTAACAGAGCCTAACAGGGGAACAGTTCAGGCATGCGGTGCTTGTTTTGTGCTGTAAAGCTTCTTTTTCCTTTACAGTGGGAACAATTTAAGCTTAGGCGCGACTTACTTTTGCACAGAGTAGAGAGGCTGAGAACAGTTTGAGGAAACTCGTTTCTAAATGTTTTAAATTATAATTTTGGGCTCCACATGGAATGAAGAACATTTTTAGCTGAATTTGCTTATTCTGCTGCTAGTTTTTTGTTTGTTTTCTTTGGCTTTATTTAACATTTGTATACATTTTTAACAAACTTTTCACTTATGCTTTTTCGGTGTACAAATTAATATAAAACAATTATTGAAAGATCGCGTAGATATGACAAATGCTTACAAGACTTATCTGATATTTTATGTATATATATATATATATATATTGGGTAGTCTAAAAAGTTTTTTCGTATTTTGCCAATAGATGTCGTTGGCGTCGTATATCTCCAGTGCTACCAATCACATTGTGTACACATTGTGGTGTTCGATTGGTAGCACTTTAAGCTTCGATTGCCAAAAAAAAAAAATGTAATTCAAAGAATTTGAAAAAAGTTACAGCTGTTCAAAAATGAGTGAAAATAAAGAAGAAATTCGCTATATTTTGAAATTTTTGTATAAAAAAGGGAAGAATGCCACGCAAGCCACTAATGAAATTTGTGATGTTTACGGTGACGATGCTCTATCAGTTCGTGTAGCACAACAATGGTTCGCACGCTTCCGTTCAGGAAATTTCGATGTGAAAGATGCACCTCGCTCTGGTCGACCAATCTTTGAAAAAGTCGATGAAATTATGGAAAGGATTGACCAAGACCGTCACATAAGCAGCCATGACATCGCAAATGAACTAAACATTCATCATCAAACGGTTCTGAACCATTTAGAAAAGGCTGGCTACAAAAAAAAGCTCGATGTATGGATACCACATGAATTGTCTGTGAAAAATTTATTGGACAGAATTAACATTTGCGATTCTTTGCTGAAACGAAATGAAATCGAACCATTTCTGAAGAGAATGGTAACAGGAGACGAAAAATGGATCAAATACGACAATAATGTGCGAAAAAGATCATGGTGCAAGAGTGGTGAAGCTCAACAAATGGTCGCAAAGCCAGGATTGACGGCTCGAAAGGTAATGCTGTGTGTTTGGTGGGATTGGAAAGGAATAATCCACTATGAGCTGCTTCAGCCTGGTCAAACGATTGATTCGACACTTTACTGTGGACAACTGATGAGATTGAAGCAAGCAATCGAAAAAAAACGGCCAGAACTGATCAACAGAAAGGGCATCGTATTCCATCAGGACAACGCCAGACCACACACATCTTTGATGACCCGGCAAACACTGAGAGAGCTTGGCTGGGAAGTTTTAATGCATCCACCATATAGCCCTGACCTTGCACCTTCGGACTACCATTTATTTCGGTCAATGCAGAACTCCCTTAACGGAGTAAAGTTGGCTTCAAGAGAAGCCTGTGAAAATCACTTGAAGCAGTTTTTCAAAGAGAAACCACGAAAGTTTTACACGAATGGAATTATGTCTCTAGTGGAAAAATGGCAAAAGGTGGTCGACCAAAATGGTGCATATTTGATTTAATAAAGTTTATTATAAATATTTAAAAATATGATTTGAAGTTTCATTACAAATACGAAAAGACTTTTTAGACTACCCAATATATATATATATACGTATATAGTAAGCTCATTCAGATGTACACAGATATGAATATACATATAAATATACAGCTTTATATATATACATATGGAAATAGTGTCTTTTATAAGTCTAGAATATAATAGATATAGATATATGGCTGCTGGGACAGCCCAGCTATTCGATGCTTAGCACGACGTCGACGCGATGACGTCATCAAGGACTAGACCGGCTGCAATGCATTAACCACTGTGTGCACAGTGGGCCTTAATGGAAGCTGGTGGTGCGATGTGACTGCTGCTGTTGTTGTTGTTGTTTTTGCTGTTGCTGTTGCTGTTTATCAATGGAAAATAGCGGCTTCTCCGCGGAGCTCTTCTCCTGCAAAGTAAGATTTGCAACGCTGCTGGAGGTGGTTTTGGTGGAGTATTGACTCTGCCTCTGGTGGCTGCCATCGCGCGAACTCGAGCATCTAAATGGACGGCATGAGAATCTGATTAGAGTCGGGGCAAATAGTGGGGGCATTGATAACACAGATTAGAGCGTAACAGCGTTAATGGTTGATATGATAACATGATTCGATATAAATATGATAATAAATGTGGAGTGTTAGCTGGAAATGCAAATGTCTCTAGCGAGACTCCATGGGAACCGGAGAGGGGCAGAGCGAGGCAGCTAAACCGTTTGAATTGATTTACATGCAATTATATATATATTATTTATCTATATAGGTAGATAGCATTAGAGATTGGTTAGTTGGTTTATCGTTTATTGTTTTTCAACTGGGGTTAATTACAAATGCTTCGCTTCAGCAAAACCTCTAACTACTTTTGATAATATTTCTTTTACCTTTTATAGCACTATTTTCTTTTAGTTAATTTCTTTCTTTTTTTCTATGTTTTTGTTTGGGTCTTGGGCCGTCGAGTGGACTTTTCCTTCATTTTTAGCTTTTCCTGGCGTATATTTATTTCGGTGGAGGTCGAGTTTGTTGAGGTCGATTGACTCGAGCTGGGCGACTTTTGCTTCAAAAGTCTTTGTGAACAAAAATTACGGATTTGCATTTGTTACATATGTATATTATTTATATATATTCATATATGAGTGTTTATGTAGGAAATATCACTTGGAGTTGGGTTACATAGGTGTTACGCATGGTATATGTATATAAATATATTTATTAGTATACATCTAAATGGACGGAATTTGTTCGTTTGTTTTGTGTTTTTGTATGGGGCTTAGCCTCTGATCTTTTAGCTTTTTCTGTCTTTGTCATATTTACAACACTCAAGTATTAAGGCTTGCTAGCTGTGTTGTGTGTTGGTTAACAGCTTGGCTGCGGTTCTGGTTGCGACTCTTTAGCGTTAGCGATACCGAAAGCAGTCTGAATACGGAAGAATACAGAAGAAAATTCAATTGAGATACAGCCACACATATATACTATATATGTCTGTATATATATTGTCTATGTATAGATTAGCTATCATATATAGTAGTGCATGCCATTCATATACACATGCACACGCACACACACACACAGAGATAGACAGAGAGAGAGAGAGTGAGAGTGTTAGGCGGTCGTTGCACAACACTGAACAGCGAAGGGGAAGTGCAACGCTTACTGCAGCTATTTATCTGTTCGATCGTTCCATTCCGTTCCGTTCCGTTCCTCTAGACGGCATGTGAATGCACACCACTGCCAGTGTTGGCAAACGCGTTGCGTATAACAACCAACTTGCGTATGTGTTGGGAGGCGTCCATAAAGCGCTGCCTCATCGAGTAGCTGCTTCCAGCCACAGTCACGCTCTCCGTTTGCCTCAGGCTGCGCACTCGCACAGTTCTAATCGAGAAGGTGGGGTGGGGCATTCGAGAGAGGGGTAGGGAGTGTGGACAATTGGAGTGAGTCAAATACATATACATATTCAGTAGACACTCGTGTGTTACACATTACAAATACAGCTCGTTCCAATTGTGAATGGGGTAAGGGACAGCACAAATTTCTGGGTGTGGGTGTAGACGGGTTCTGGATGGAGCCAATGATGGAACATACCTGTTTGTTATCAAATGCTTGACCTTCTTCTTCAGCACAAACAGCATGAAGATGAGAAAGCCCTGCATGGCATTGCACAAATCGGAGACGTAAAAGATCTTCGACCACTTCTTGTCGGCGCCCACAAAGTAGGATATGATTTCCGATGACCAGGTAACGCCCATGATCAGAAACAGGCGCAGAAACAAGCCGAATCTGAAAGCACTTCCGTTAGTCAATCACTCTATGCAATGTGCAGGGAGAGCTTACTTACTTATCCTTCTCGGTGCGCAGATTCCTGGTGCTATCCTCGCGGGCTATGATCCTCGCCATCTCGCGCTGCACGCTATGAATCTTGATGGCCGTCATCACAAACATCACCGTATTGGCCACGATGATGGCCATGATGGGCCCAAAGAAGTAGAACATCGCTGACCAGTTGGTCATGTCCAGCCAACAGAACTGCCCTCCACCAATGCCCGGCTTCAGGTAATCGGGCCACTCGGTATACTCCTGCGCCAGAATCGTGAAGATCAGAAACATCAGCGCCAGGCCCCACGAGTAGAGCGAGTAGAGCAGAAAGCGCTTCTTCTCCTGGAACCGGTTGATCCCGCGCGTGCCACGGAAATTGTGCCACAGGTCGAAGCTGATCACGTTCAGCCAGAAGAAGGCGGACATGAAGAAGAAGTAGGTTGTGTAGCCAAACATCTTGCAGGACAAGCTCAGCGGATCTATGCCCTCCACGAGCAGGAGGCAACACAGCAGCGAGTAGCCGACGGTCAGGCCTACCAGATAGCAGACCAAAGACTTTCCGTGCTGATTACGAAGCTCGGGAATCAAGAGGTAAACGGCTATGGTCAGCAGCATGAAGGGAATGGAGAAGAGCATAGCTGTGGCGAAAGGAAAGAACATGAACATGGTCGTTAGAGAGGCATCTGGATTTATCTGGACATATAATATATATAGCTGTATGTGCACAGTCTTGGCCTTACTCATTTTGTACTTACCGAACCCATTAATGATCTTCACCGTCGTATTCTCATGGAACATGTCGCAGTTGGCCGGGTTTATCGTGTAGTAGAGGTCGGTGTCGTTGATACTGGTGGGCACCAAACAGAACTCGTTCTTGAAGATGTAGTGCTGGTCATCCTCGCGGAACAGCGTGCCGTTCTCGTAGAGCTGGAAGGTGTCGTACGAGTTGACTTCCGGCACCAGCGAGAACATCTCGGTGCAGGGCCTGAAGCTCTGCACCACGAACTGCTCGTAGATATTCACGCTCTGAACCGATCCGTTGTTGAGGGTCACATTGATCAGCGGCTCTGGCCACTTTTGCTTCGTGTTCGTGTCTTTTTGGCACTCAGTGTAGTTGTAGATCTGGCCCCAGGGGCAGCAGATGTTGATGCAGGGCTTCAGTTTGCAGATGCAGCCACGCACATGCGGCGTCACATCAATGCGATCGACCAGGTCCTTGTAGATGTAGTCGAAGGTGCCCACGTAGTGGCTGGGTATAATCACGCCCTCGTAGTTGTAGCTGCCGTTCGGAAACGAGGGGTAGCCAGTCAGGTTGACTGTGTCAAAGAAGCTGCACTTGATGTGTATGCCATTTCGCTCATGATAGTTCCACTCCTCGCCCATGGCATAGACCCCGAACGGACTGCCCGGCAGCAGACGCAGCACCACCAGGAGCAGGACACCGATGACGGTGACGCCACAGTAGAGCGAGCCCGATCCCCGATGCTGCTGCATTTTTTTCTGGGCCCTGCGGAGAATCAACAAAGGTAGATTGATGAGAAAATGAATCCAAAGGCAAGTTGGAAAGGTAAAAGCTAATCTAAGGTATAAGCTGAGAAGAAGAGTTGCTTATCATTTAACTCAAAGGCCAAGTAAGGCAATTGCTTAGCGCTGTAAACCAAACCGCGGTTACGTTTGCTTGCTCATGTGCCCATCTATCTTATCGGATCTTCTTTATTGTTCCCATTAGCATATTAGCTAATAAGCTTTCCCTCCATCTATCAAAATCTCACTGCTAAGGCACTTTATGCCTTTACCTTCTGCCTCTTCAACAGGTTAGCCCTTGATGCGGGCACATGTGGATTTATTACGTCAGTTTTCGGGCGCAATTAGGGCAACAAGTCCTTGGGGCAATGCCTTGTGTGTGCCCCGTAAACATTCAGCCGAAGACCGTGAAAAGCAAAGAGAGAGAGGGAGGGCAGGATAAACTATCCACCCACGTACACATATACATACATACATAGCTGTACACACGCAATGTGAATAAGCGCCCTGTTGCGCTGTAACTTTCGACTCCTGTCCCCCTTCTGGCCCCCGCCGTTGATTCACAACTCCAGTTCCGGGGGCATTAATCATCCGCCCCAGCACATATTTATGAATGCGTGTTAAATTGACACTAAGTGCTTGTCCCTATCAATATCCTGTCCGCAAGTCCTCCCAGCTGCTGTCTACGTCAGCCTAAGCAGCACCGCCCACGCCTCGCGGCTAATGTGTCGGCAATAAATTCATTACCAGGCCAGGCCAGACAGAAGCCCAACCCCCACTCACTAATCCTCTGCCCCAATAGACACTATCTTATCGTATGCTAACATCATTACGGAGGCCCCACTGCGTTGGGGCTGAAAGTCAACTTTCGATTAATTCATTGATCGCTAATTATTTGCATTGGTCGAAAGCCAGACAAGGAGAGAAACAAAGAGAGAGAGAGAGAGAGAGAGAGAGAGAGCAGTGCACACCTTAAAATTAATGTGAAATTTATTGGCCCACTGGGTAAACAGACATTAAATGCCAGCCAATTGGCAAACTTGAGTATTAATCAAAAAATAAGCATAATTAATCGTTTTCAGCAGGCGAAAAGAATTCGGCCAGAGTTGCCAACACAGACCTAAAAAATGATAAATTTAGTCTATTTTTGTATACGCTCTGCTCCATACGTTTTTGGAGTTTAATATGAAATATCAATGAACTTGTTCATTGTCGACCAACTTAAGCAATTTGGGTTTGAGCTGGTTCACTTAAAAATTTTATATAAAGTTGGTGAAAACTTGTTTCACTTTTAAAGAACTGGCTTAATTTTAAAGAACATTTAATATCATTTGACTCACAAATATTCAAATATCATTCTATATATTGAATCGATTTGTCTCAAGTTTAAATTTCCCATGAAATCAAGAATAAATTTACAACAAACAAAATTGGATTTTGACTGTAAAAATATATATCTTGGGCAATACTTGTTTTTAATTGCCAACCGCAGGCCCATTATGCAAAAGTACTCATCGAAGAGGCCTCCTCTTTGTCCCTGCCCCGCCTCGATTCAATTTCAATATAGCGGAAAATATAAACGGCTAAATGTGGCTATAAAATTGAATTATGACCCGCAATTTCATGAATTGTTTTACGATTTTCCGGATTTTCAATTGAAGCTAGCAAAGCGATATAATTTTTGTGGATTTTCTATTTTTTTGCTTTTATTTTTCTTCATTAAACTATTTGTTTAAAATTGTTGCATATTTATTGTTTGTTTTGTGTGCTGATAAATATAAATGCAACAACTGCTGTTTTAGCTCAACGAGCGATTGCCCATACACTATATACATATATGTATGTATAAATGTGTGTATGTGTATGTATCTATGAGTGTGTGTTTATGCGAGAAACAGATGTGATATGAGCGATACGCCATCGATCGATTTATAATGCTGATCAGGCCGATCAGCGAATTGATTTCCCAATCTTCCTCTTCTCCACTGATTCACTTAAACAAATGGGCGCGTCTGCTGTTGGCTAGCGGAATGCCAATTGATGGATTCCCCATCAGATAGCTGAAGATGTCAGATAATGCCAGCATATATTGCCATGCGTACAATATCGTTGATATTATCACTTAGCTTATTATACAACTGCGAGAGAAAGAGAGAGAGAGAGAGATAGAGCTCAGAGCGCTGAAGGCATAATCGTGCTCCGCTTGTCTCATAAAACCGCCGATAAGATAATGCCAAGAGTTTCTAATGTTACACAAAGAGTATTTACTAGGCATTTATTGATTCCAAGAAATGAAATACTTATATGTATATGTATATATATATATACTTTTCACATATGTGAACGATTCCATTTAAGACTTTAAGCAAATGTCAAAGGAAGTAGATCCGTTGACAGTTTTTAATGGGGTTTATCGAGCAGAACTGTAGTATAGAACTTAGATAACTCACATTGTTATAAATATTCCAAAGGCTATTATGAATTACGGTCAAAGATATAGCAAAGTCAAGCAACCCATATTTATACATATCTATATATACATATATATATACATTCATTTTTATTTGTGTACGAGTTTCAATCTCTACACATAGAACATTTAATGAGTAATTAATTATGTAGCTTCCGTTGGGCAAAACTGAATATTTATTATTTCTCTAATTTTGTTTTTCTGTGTTTTTTTTTGTTTTTATGTCCTCTGATAACGAGGCGCTGAGTAATTGTCTCAAATGACAAACGAATTGTGATTCATGCGGCGCTTCCGAAGGCAGTTAAGGCACTTTTTACTGCTCCCATTGGGATCCGAAAATAAATAGAAGTTGCCATTAGACGGAGTCGATACGAGCAGAGCAACAGCTGTGCAGCAGAGCAGCTCGCAAATTAGTAGTTGGTGTTAATTATGTATGCTGAAGTGCATAAGCTTGACAAAGATTTATCGGCGACTGATAAAGCGGCTTATGCGATAGACAAACGGATGGAAAGGCGGACGGGCGGATAGACGGACAGAAGGGCGGATGGCTGTAGCAAGCACTTCGAACGTGTCACGCGGCGTATGCGTAATATTTCTAAATTATATTTATTCAAATTCAAAATACGCAAAAGGCAATTGCGACGAAACATAAACAAAACACAATTCACTGCCGACACATGATATATATTTAGCATATATTGAATATATTGTTAATAATCGCATCAGGAATGGAACTCACGAAATCAGAAAGCCATTAAAAAACATTCCGCCTCACTCACAAGCTGTACGAGTTCTGCGTAGCACTCGAGCACTTCATATATATATATATTTATATAATGTGATATTATTATTATGCATATGCGTTTACATATAATAATATTATTGTTCAGTTAGGACAGAAATTCTTCTTCACACACACAAACACACACACATATATATGTATACATCTGATATCTTTTGCTTTGCGAGTCGTCTGTGGGTCTCCTCGGTCGCCCTCAAACTTATCGCGTAGACTGTGAACTTGAACTGGAACCAAAAATTAAAAACTCACCACATCAGTAATATGTTGGGGTGAGTTAGATAAACAGTCCACACACTCACACACCCACTCACACTCGTTCACACACTCACTTTTGCGGCGCGGCAATTATTTTGAAATTCAACAAAAGTTTTGTTTTCCACTTTGTTTTCTTTTTTTTTTCCGCCACTCAAAAATTTTGCGGTTTTCGTTATTTTTGGAACATTTCAAATCGTGTGAAAATTCCAGCAGAAATCATATTAGGCGCCAGCCAGAACCATAAACTCGACGGAGCTCGCCAAATAGTTTGCTAAGCGATATTTAATTCCTGGTTTTCTGTGTGTAGACAAGGGCAATCTACTCTCTCTCTCTCTCCCTCTCTCTCTCTCTTACTTAATTTATGCCTGCTCATCAGTCAAAGTGCTGGGCATAGCTTCAATAGTGCTCAGCATATAATTTTGTGCTGCATTTGCATATCCTATCCTGCTGTCCCCCTTGCTATGTCTTGAGTAACCCCATACTTTTCTATACATACATTAACATTAACCTTTTGATAATATTATATTACCATATATTAAAATTGGGAATACCCATTGGCTGCTTGCATCATCTTCAGCTCATCAATCAATCACCAATCGCTCGTTCTATGAAAGTTGGGTGTGAAATCGCAATGTTTCTCTATTGTGACTTGTAGTGAGAAAGCAATATAGAAATATTTACAAAATATATCATATTGAGAGATACGAGTTTTTTCTAAGCAGCTCTATTGTTAGCTATAAGCTAAGACTGCAACACAATATTAATCAGAAATATTAGTGTAGGCGACTATTTATTTTCCCACTTGCTTCTCACAATTTTCCATTGACAATGAAGTGTATATTGAGTAAGTAAGAATGTAAGAATGCCTCTGATGTTTGTATAAATATAAATATGTCGAAGGCTAGATAGCAGAGCGATAGTCGAGTTAGCAAACTTGAGATCAATTTTATATTTATAGAGAGTGCATTACATATCATTAGCAATTACAGATTAAGCTCGTTCTTCGTTATTTCTAGTATTACTGTCTGTTTCGGCTTTATGCTGATTTTACATATATTATCCTCACATTTCTGTTAAATCATATTGGATTCCTATTTGCCTAATGGCAATTTTCTTTTAGTTGAAATTGATTGAGAAACAGATGTTTTTCAGGCTTTCTCTATCGCAAGAGACCGAACCATTTGTACTTTTCAGAGTTTGCCTCATGATATAGATATACGATAAGGCAGCGTAATGTTATTAAGTATGCAATTAACCTATGTCCAGATAAAACTGTTCTTTAAGCTACTATAACTCCTCACTTGAGCATAATTGAAAAGATAAAGAAAGAGCAACAGTTTTATTCCACTTGACTGTAATACTTCATAATAATTTATAGTTAATAAGTAGAACGAAATTGTTGTATATAGCTAACGACTTGAGCATTTAGCTAATTAAATTGCAGTTTTATGAACGCTTATCATGAAAGCGAAGCCAACAACTGACCCCAACGGTCCCCAAGCCCAGCACCTGATGATGGCTCAACTGCAACTCATTTGCCAAATGGCAAATGGCAAATGGCAAATAGCCAAGGGAAGTTCGCATATAATATATCTATCCTATTGCTACAGCTAATGACAACTGGTAGGCCATCAAGAGCAGGGTGAAGTTTTTATGGCAATTACCAAAATGTCTCGGCTCTACTCTATATTGGAAGCTAGTCTATAACAAAATATCATACGGAGCAGTTGGTATTCTCTGAAGATGGAAGACAGAATTTATAATATACGAAGTGCTTCAAGTAACGAATGAGTCAGTAAGCATTTCGATTCATGTGTAGAACTGAGAAGGGCGGAGCTGCAGAGAGACGAGTGATAAGAGACTTCTTGGGAAACAGTTCAAGCCTGGCAAAGACTTTGATTGCTGCCAAAAGATAAGTCGGTGGAGAACAGAGTGAGCATTACATATTCAGACATATAATGGAGATTGAAAAACAGACTTTTTCTTGAAGCTAATTTATATAAGCTTAATGATATCTGGAATAATATCTGTCCCTCTATTAGCTGAGTTGAAAGTGATAGAGTGCATTTGAATCCATATCAAATGACGGCAAACATCGTGAAGTGGAGACCTATTCAGGAGCTAAAAATAACGCCAGCAGCGAGATCTGTGTGTTGCTCATGAATCTATCCCTCATTATATGTCTTTTGAGCCAACAAATCAATTATCGCACTACTTTGAAATGGCAATAGAATGAAAGCCTCACTAAGTAAATTGCAATTCTAGCAAACATTAGACACTTCGCAGTCTTTTAGATATGCTTAATAGATTTATCCATTCTCTGAATATATTCGCAATCCTGTCCGAATTAGTGTGTTTACAAACAAAGCGACGTCGTGTCGCTCCTCCAGGCCAAATCCCAGAGAAATTCCTATTAAAACTGCTAAGCACAAAATCCCAAAGTGTAAACAATCGGAATGAAAAGTAAAACAGAGAATATGAAATGTTAAACAAATCGTAGGCAAATGTGCAACAATTGTAAACACATTAAAGAGTCGCCCTCTGTGGGGGCGTGGCGTGTTGGCGTGGTGGGATGACTCAAAGTGCAACAGGTGTTACAATCTGAGTTTCGAGTTGGGAAAACAGCTTTCAAAGCACAGCGACTATTTGTCATGCTCTTAACAGAAATTATCGGGAACTTAAGAGCAGCGGCCAGATTTAGCTGGAATGTGACTATATATACCAGATTATAAGCAGCTGAGTCAGCCAGCGACCCAGATCCTAACTAATTAGCCCATAAATATTAAGCAAATTATATAGCCTATATATATATATATATAATTAGACAGAAATATAGAGAAAAGCTATTTCCACATTTGGCAGGGATTAGTATACACTATTTAGAAGAGATTTCCGAATGGAATATCTATATTTAAATAAAAAAGAAATGCTCGAATGGGGTACATTGTGTTTATGAATCCTAAGACATATCTTAAATGCTGTATATAGAACGTATATGATCAATCAGTCCTAATGATGGAATGAAGACGTTAAAATTTTTAGTTCCACAAAACAAAGTAATAAACATTTCTATCTTACCTAAGCTGTCTAGTATTATACATACTTTAATATTTAATTACAGGGTATTCTGATAGTTATCCAAACTAATTGATTGCAATAACACAGCAAAGCACATAAATTAAAATATTAATATGACAACAAACCAAATGCCATTAAAACAAAGTTTACGAGTTTTACAGCACGTGGAAAAGTATATATATATATATATATATATATATATATATATATATATATATATATATTTAATTACAGGGTATTCTGATAGTTATCCAAACTAATTGATTGCAATAAAACGGCAAAGCACATAAATTAAAATATTAATATGACAACAAAGTAAATGCCATTAAAACAAAGTTTACGAGTTTTACAGCACGTGGAAAAGTCTCTATATATATATATATATATATATATATATATATACACACAAATATATATCTATATGCGAGACGCATTATCGGATGGGTAACGCCCACTTGAATGGCAGAGGAACAAAAATATTTGTGCTGCGCGCTATTTGCAATCAGCTCTTGAGGAAGTCAACTCAAAGTCTTATCTTTCTCTCCATTTGCACTTACCGCTGAGCTCTATGTCGGTATACCTATATCTAAGTGGTATATAGCTCTCGTATGGCACTGCACACACTATTTGCTTCAATCAAACTGTTTGGTATTGTTTTGAACTTCTCTTGTCACTGTGAAGACCCTAGATAATTTTCATTTTGAATGCATTTAACTGGAAGTTCAGGAGATATGAATATGTATATGCTTGATATACATATATATATATATATATATATATATATATATATAAGTATGTATATATAGGTATATAATGTTAAGCACGGTAGCCCCTTGTCATTAGGTATGCAAAGCAAGCTTAACAGATATGTGTCTTTGATCCGCGGTTCTTTTTATTTTAAGCTTGGGTTTTTTTGTTGTTTACTTTGTTTTTTCTTTTTCGTTCTTGAAACTTGAAATTTGTGTTTGTTCACACTTGTGAATATCTGTCAAAAGTACAGCGAAATCTTTTTGTTCATTTAGGTACAACATGAAATCCGAAATGAAAGATGTTTCACAATGCACTTGTTTTATATTTCTTGAATTTCTTTTATTCACATATCTATATAGGCACTTTATACGCTGGGAATTCCCGAGCATCACAAACCTCTAGTTCGTGTCAACCGGTTATTGTTATTATCATAGTTGTTAAAGCAAGCAAAAAGCGCATACGATATTATTAATGAGCTATCAGCAACTCGGTTATGAAGTTTGTATTTTTAATTTTGCGATCCACGTCTAATTGATTCCGCGTCACTTCCACAACGGTCGACAAATGGAAGCGAACTGAATGGACATCGGTTAGTTTCCGTCTGTTAAGCGTATCAGCGCTGTCGCTGTTAACGTGCCAGCCATAAATGTTAATGCTAAAGCGATGTTAAAGCGCCTCCTCAGCGTAGTTAAGAAAAAAGGTAAACAGTAAGCGGCAGTTAATGGCAGTGCAGCCAGTATTTCGTATCCCTTGAAGACTTTAATGATGATCGTATATTTAATATTTACACACACCTCACTTCACCTTCAAGCAAAGAACGACTGATCCCCACCAGGCCTGGGTTGCCTTTTATATGGGGTGACTTTCACTCAAACGCAAAGTCGCGCTCAACTGTTGAGCCCAGCGCTAGGTAGGGGTCGCTACAGTCGACCAATGGG